GTTGCGATATACGGATACGCATTGCGATTTACCCATACGCGTTGCGATTTACGGATACACGTTGCGATTTACGGATACGCGTTGCGATTTATGTGTTCGCGTTGCGATTTTCATATTCGCGTTGCGATTATGGAAAATCGCAATGCGAATTTGTACTATCGCATCGCGATTTTCAAGAATCGCGTTGCGATTCTGGAAACTGATTTGCGATTCTGGGGATCGCGTTGCGATTTTTATTTCGCGTTGCGATTTTGTTGGTCATTTTGGCAAATCCAAAAAAAGTTGGTTAAAATCGTATATTATAACTTTTTTTTGGTCACTGAGGCGATTTTCTCTAGATATTAAGTCATTGTCGATATGTTTGAATGTGTTGCTGTCTGACAGCAAATCCATAGGCATCTCTAACCACATCATCACGCACATATTCGGATGTGTTGCTATAACAAACCGTTTTTCCTTCTTATGGTTCTAGTCGTTACAGACAGGCACGTGCTAATTTAGCGGGCTTTTTTGTTCAAGCCGATGTTAAATGACGTGTACGACAAAGATGATTTTGTTTTGCCACGTGAAGAAATATGAAGCGGTAGATTTAGAGGCATCGATTAACTTTGAGTCAGAGATGGGTAAGGTTAGGTTGACCATTTGAGTTTGACTGTGTAGGCTCCACTACAGTGCTTGTAGACCTTACTGTCAGTTAATGAAAATGGTAAACTACCCGGGTAACCACCGAACTATGGTCATAGACCATTTTGACCACTAATATTTGAAAACGATCAAACACAAACAACCCAACTATTTAAATTTAAAACCCTGTCGGTGGTGACATGGCAGTTAAGTCAAATTGACATAATTATATATTCGGTCCTCAATATTTATACATTGTATCAATTTATTCATTATTTTAATTTAATCAAATAAATTTTCTCACCAATTAGGTGGTGACATGTGTCACCACATGTGTAAAGGGAAACATTTGAGAAATATAAGGGAGCTAGGGGGATTCAAACCAAGGACCTAGGCCTGTAAACGAGTCGAACGCACACGAACGGAGGTATGTTCATGTTCGTTCATTTAATAAATAAACGAACATAAACGAACACGAACATAAATGAACAAAATTTTTTTTGTTCATGTTCGTTCATTAAGGAATATAGCTTGTTCATGTTCGTTCATTTAATAAATAAACGAACATAAACGAACACGAACGAACGGACATAAACGAACAACACAAACACAAAAAAAAAATTATTCGAACACAACAAACGAATGTAAAAAAAGTAAACAACAAGAATAACAACTTAAAATTCATTAATATAACCTGCAACTTTAGAGTTAATTTGTTCGAATACGACAAAAACATACATAAATCATAAATAAGCTATATGAACATAACAAAGTCTTAAAGTTAATTTGTTCAACAAACAATCTTCTTGAAATCCAAACAACTTCAATAATCTTCGTAACATATTCAACTTGCCATCTGTTCGAACATAAATGAACATAAATGAACGAACATAAACGAACATATAATCGAACGTTCACGAACGTAAATAAACGAACGAGCCATTTGTTCATGTTCGTTTATTTAATTAAACGAACGCAAAATCTTGTTCATGTTCGTTCATTTAATAAATAAATGAACTTCCCGCCGCACGGTTCATGAACGGTTCGCTGAACGTTCAGTTCATTTACAGGCCTACAAGGACCCTATGGTGTCCCTGGGTAAGATTTTGCCACTTAGCCAAGCTGTTTAACAATGCTTTATATATTGTGTTTGAAGTTATTTCACACATGCATATATATATATATATATTAAATTATAGTTAATGTAAGACTTAAAAATAAAAATGAGTTTAATATTTTTATTTAAATTATTTTTTATAATTATTTTTAAAATAATAATATATAAATTATATTAAAAAATAAAATTATAGAAAATAATTTATATAAAAATAAAATAAATTTAATATTTTTATTTAAATAATAATATTGTGAGTTGAATAAATATTTAAATACAAAATAATTTAAATAGTTATATTGGTGGGATTTTTTTAAATAATATATATATATATTAAAATTTTATATAAATTATTTTGTGATATAAATATTTATTAAACTCACAATATTATTATTTAAATAAAAATATCATTTTTTTTATTTTTATATAAATTATTTTCTATAATTTTATTTTTTAATATAATTTATATGTGCATGTGTGAAATAGCTTCAAACACAATATATAAAGCATTGTGCAATTTTGCACAAATTAAATAGTTTGTCTTGTTGGCAAAAGCTTGCCCAGGGACCCCAGGCCCTTATATTTCTCAAGTGTTTTCTCTTTACACAGGTGCCATCTCTGGATTGGAGGGTGAATTTATTTAATTGAATTAAAATAGTGGCTAAATTGATATAGTATATAAATATTAATGACTAAATATATAATTATGTCAATTTAACTTAACTGTCACGTCACCACCTCTATTAAAAATTAACGAAAAATAACTTAAATAAACCATTTAAATAATCACGTTGGTGGTTAAAATGGTTTATGATCATAATTCGATGGTCACCATTATAGCTTACCCATATTTTAAATACACGATGTATTGTTTTGTCACAACAATTATTTTCTGTTGTACACTGTTCAAAACTAATAAATGCAAATCAATTATAGGATAAATCATATAAACGATCATTAATTATAAAATATTATTTTGTTGAGTTTAGTGACTAAATTTATTTATTGACTAAGATATAATAAAATAATAGTACAAGTTCATTGAATATATTACTTTTAATTCAAGTTGATTTGGACTCATGGTACTAAAGTTTTTTACAGTAATACATCAGAATCACAGTCTAGATATAACTACCAAATTTATTCATTTAGGTGGCAGATACAAGTACACCATAGATGCTTAACTGAGAATACAAATCATTAATCTAAGCACAGCTTATTGTGATTCTTTGGCACACGCAATCATACGATGGTGGCAATTTCATCAGTTCTAGTCCTGCAACAATAAGAATTTATTTCACTGGTTAGAAATTTCTGGTAGAATAATTAATGATGCAATACTAATACTATATGAGCATAAACAGGGCGGTACTTTGAACATCTTATAAAGTGCCACTAATTCATTTGGATCAGTTTTCTTTGTCTGCTTATACGCATTGATCTTGTTCGCCGCCTGCATCTAGGCCTGCAAACAAACCGAATGCACACAAATTGATGTATGTTTATGTTCGTTCATTTAATAAAGAAACGAACAATTTTTTTTTGTTCATGTTCGTTCATTAAGGAATATAACTTGTTCATGTTCATTCATTTAATAAATAAACGAACACGAACATAAACGAACACGAACATAAACGAACACGAACATAAATAAACACGAACATAAACGTTGGAAACCCTACCTTCCATTGTTCTTTCATGAAAAATAGTCGACAATGCAAATCAACCAAATCTACAGTGATAAATAGCGTAAGAGTTGATTAGCACTGATGAAATGTTTGAAGATATCATATATTTCGATCGATCTTTTAAAGATATTAAATGATTCACACGACTTTAATTTAACGCTATAATATTTATCTTAGTGGTCAATGATTACATATGAACAATCATTTTCCACTACGTTATTCTAATAAATTCGTCGGCTAAAAGTTTTGTGACATCAATGTCAGACTTTAGTGAGATTTGTTAATAATGATCCTTTTCATTAGCAGAGTAGAAAATTTAATAGCATGAAGATTTCGAACGGTACAAATTGGACTACAAGACAATAACATAAATCCGAAATCCCTCCGATGCTACATATCTAATTGATATTATTCCTAAACCACCATTCAAAATTTTAACGTACCTAAAGTGTACTCTACAACTAAAGGTCACACAAGAACTATGAAAACAAAAGTTCATTGTCAAAGTGTATTTTCTACTAATTAATGGGTTCTTCCTGGAAAACCCATTACTTCCGCTATTACACTCTTTTTCAGAAATTGCATAGAAACCTTTGTTTTATTTTTTGGCAAATTCTATATATTTTTATCTTTACTGATGCTCATATACTTCTGATTGTTACCTTTATCTTCTCATCTATTTCTAGAAAAAAGTATGATGTTTTCTTGAGTTTTAGATGTGAAGATACCCACAATAACTTTATATATCAACTATTAAGCCAAATAAAACAGAGAAAGATGAAAACAGACTTGTAAAATTTCATATTGCACTATAAATATAACTTTTTTGAAGCTTTCACCGATTGTTTCCACTCTCCAGTGAACATTATGGTTTGGGAAAAAAGGGGAAAAATAAATATAGGTGCGAGGTGCCTCACGGGTTAACATATTGAATTTAATCTCTAAATAAAATTGGATTAATTATGGAGTTGGTCATTAGAATATCAGATTAATTAATAATTTTAAGATACTTACAAATTGGTCACCAAAATTGATTTAAAAAGATTGGATTAAAATAAATGAACGAACATAACCGAACGTTCACGAACGTAAATGAACGAACGAGACATATGTTCATGTTCGTTCATTTAATTAAACGAACACAAAATCTTGTTCATGTTCGTTCATTTAATAAATAAACGCACATAAATAAACTTCCCGTCACACGGTTCATGAACGGTTCGCTGAATGTTCAGTTCATTTACAGGCCTACCTGCATCATGAAGTTATGACAACAAAAGGTATTATCCAGGAACCAAAGTAGATAAAAAAATGTTGCAGACAAACATGGAGGCATTGAACACAAAATAAAAGCAAACCAACTCTCGATGCAAATCGGGACTTAGTCCGGTTGGTTCATGCAACTATTCCTAAGATATGACATCTAATACGTCTTTGAATCCCGATATCTGTAATCTCTTCCTCTATCCCACGTGCAAAAAGCATTTTAACAACATTGCTAAAATCTGCACGTCCTCAGCTGCGAAGTGACTATAAATCTTAAGGTAAGCATATGATTTAAATTCTACCTCAATTCATGCTGCTAGTTTTGGCCTGCCGGCAGTGATGTCATAATCGTTCATAGATCTTTTGCAGAAAAACTCAAACGATACCTAATGATATCACCATTAGCAAACTACAAGCCTTTTTTTCTTTATCCTGAAAGTTTATCATTAAGCAACCTTTTACATAGCTTTCACACATTACCATTAATTTAAGAAACATACAGTGACAATATTACAGCACAGACAAAGCAATTTAGCATCACTTACCAGAGAAAACTCGTCGCCAAGGTGGAATGGGCCATCATATTTTGTAAGAGCATGCTCCAAGTGATCAGAAGCAGCACCTGATGCAGGTCCTAAGATTTAGCTGGTTCATATCATATTATATACAGATACAGGATACACTCGGTAAAACATGGAAGTCTCCTTTAAATGTAGTAATCACCATCCCTGCAAATTTGTCCAGGTCCGATAACAGCTCCTCATACAACTTTCGTTTGTCGGGATTCTAAAACATTTCTAAGAGGCTGCTTAGTTACTTTAGATAACGTGAGAGAGTGTTACAAATCTTCACTGAGAGCACTAAACAATTCAACAGATCTTACATTGGGTAAAAGGGAAGGCCCTTCAAAGTTGCTATTAACATATTTAATCAAATGAAGACTGTCCCCAATGACTTTGCCATTATGTTCCAAGGCTGGAACCTGATAATGAATTCATTAACATAATAATTAATAAAGAACATTGGATTAACATTTTCCAGAAAGCACTATTTGATTCTCATACGAGATTTTTTCTTGACAATACTCCATGGGACTTGGAGATGCAATCCTATGCAAGATCAAGTAGTTCTATCAAGTTCACAACAGATTTTCAACCCTCTTTTTTTTGTCTGAATTGTTCATTTATCAAAACACATTCTACCACGACAACTTCACATAATCCGTTATTGAACATGTGTCACCTTATTTTCAGGGTAAACTTTTTCCTTAACCAAGTAGGTCTATTTTGAAGGTTCAAAGGAACCAGCATAATTTTGTCTTGTAAACCCTGCAACTCAACCAAATTCACAACAATTACTTACTTGAAAATTTTGGGGAAAGGAAAAGTAATCAACAAATCAGAGGGAAAAAAGAAGAAAGAATAGTGCAAACAAAACCAAGGGAATTAGAGTATTAGACAACCTTATAATTCCTGGTGATCCACACACGCTGGGCAAAAGGGCAAGTATAAGCCATATACAACCTTCAAATGAAGAAGAAGACAAGGATCAACTTATCATGTATCAATAAACACAAGCAAACAAGATCGCCGCAAAAAGGAGAAAAAAGAGTGAAACCTGGTAGTTCCATATAGCAGGTTGCTCAGCAGTAGCACCCAATGGAGGAGGCAAGTACTCTAGAGTTCTGAAATAACAATCCAAAGAAGTAAAAAGAAAAAATGTGATTTTTAGATTAACCCAAAAGCTAAAATTGGCAGATAAGCTTGAAAATCGAGAAGATAGTTGAAGATTCTTACACAGTTGCCATAGACCTGGGGAATTCCGTATATCTCAGCTTCGAAAATTTGCCATTTCGAATGTTGATGCTATTAAATTTGCTTAAAAATTGTCTCCACATTCAGGAAGGAATTCTTCGCCTTTAAATAAATTCGAGAACCGTTTAAGCGATAATCAGCAATATTGAGAACCTTGGTAGTAGTTAAATGATTATTATTTTGGGTAAACTACTTTAGATATCCCTCAATTTTAAGCGTTAACTTATTTATACCACTGAATTTCTAACTAACATTAATATTATGTTTTATTCTTAATTATATTATTACATCATTAATTACTAAGCGGGACGACAGTGTGACAGTTACACGTCGTGACGATAATGACTGGAAACTATGTAGAAAATTACAAATACTTGGAAAGCTTGAAAAACATGTGGCAAGAAGATTAAGCAAATTGGTTAGCTTAAATGTGGCATCGAAGGCAACAAAATTATGGTGGCAGAAGCAAATTAAGAATGGATAAATACTTTGAAAAGTCAAAATTCAAGCACGACAAGCAATTGAAAGGTGGTGGCAAAAGAAAGAAGGGTAAACTATACCACTAAACACCTAATTATAACTTCTTTTTATTTTGACCACAATTTTTGTTTTTTTATCAATCACACCACATAGCTATTTTAATGCATTCAGTCAAACCACTAGTCGTTAACATTTAACAGAGGATGTGACGTGACAGTTAAAAAATTTGGTATAATTACACATTTGATCCCCAATACGTATATATTCTATCAATTTAGTCATTATTTTAATTTAATTTATTAAATTTAATCTTCCAATAAGATGATGACACGTGTCATTGTATAATTAAAGGTTTTTTTTTTTTTTATAATTTAGTATATTTAATTATTTTCCTCAGCTAGATAATGAGACATGGTACCGTCTGGTTGGATGAAAAATAAATCACTAAGAAAAGCCTTTTAGGAGGGCTTAGAAGACTTGAACCTAGGTCTTCTAGTAGTGAAACATGCATCCTAACCACCCAGTATCATTTGATTTTGGAATTATGTATATATATATATATATATATATCAGAAAAAAGAAAGGAAAATGGGTATGGTAAGATTTGAACTTAGACTAAATAGAAAACTTGACAACACAAAACCACTAAAACAAATATTATATTTGGTTAAAATTTAAATAGGTATTTTATATATTTTAAATACTTTTTATACAATATTAAAAGAAAAGCTAAATTTAAGATTTACACATGATTAAAATTAACTTTTAATTATACATTTTAACTATAAAATCTAATAAAAATTTAATTAAAATATAAATATTCTTATATTTTATTTTTAATAAAAAGTAAAATTATTAATTAAAATAAAAATATCAATTTTAAACTGTATTTATAACCATTAAATTATAAATGTGAAAAAACAAGAAATATAATTTAGTTTAAAATATATAAAACTTAAATTTAGTTTCTCTTTTAATCTTGTATAAACTAGTGTTTAATATATATATATAAAATTTATCCAAATATTAACTAAATATGATATATGCTTTAGTGATTTTGTGTTGTCAAGTTTTATATTTGGTATAGGTTTGAATCTTGCCACACCCTTTTTTATTTTCCTTTTTTTTTCTAATATTAATTTAAGTATAATATATATATTATTGTGTAATTCACAACACATATAATGGTGTAAGTTGAGTGGTTAGGCCTCATGCTTTAACACTAAAAGTCTCAAGTTCAAATATTACTTGCCCGTTCAAAATGTTTTTCTTTGTGAATTTTTTTCCATCCAATCAGTTGTTGTCACGTGTCACTATTTAGTTGGACGAAAAATAATTAAATTAAATATATTAAATTAATTAAAAATAATCTTTAATTATATGGTGACGTATTTTATCTGATTAGAGGATTAAATTTAAATTTATATAATATATAAATATTGATGATTAAATGTGTAATTATACCAATTTTTTTAACTGTCAAGTCATCTTTCCGTTTAATATTAACGGTTCAAGCAGCTGCAACATGGTGATTGAATATTTATTGTTAAATGGTTGCGAATATTTAGAATATATATTCATTTGTAATCACCTTAGCTTAATAAAAGAAAATAGTTGAGTGAAAACGGTTACATGTCTTTAAAAATATGTATGCTCGTAGTATATGTAATGAGTGAAAACGAGTGAATGTGAGTTGATATATATATATATATATATATATATATATATATATATATATATATATATAAACGAGAGATAGAAAGCTTAGCAAGTAAACTAGTTGAAGCTAGTAACAGGGTAAGGGCGTTGCATAATATTTTGTTCGTATTAATAATATTGTTAGAATGATTAATTTATCGAATGCTCATCAACACTTTCAACATTTTTCACGTAATATTATTTTTTAATTTTTAAAAATGATATTAAAATAAATCAAACGATGTAGTATTGTTAGATTTCCATTGTCATGTCCACTCTCTCTCTCCCTCTTTCCAAACGTTACGCAACTCTTCTATTGTAATTTTTAAGATTTTCTTCTCTTTTATTTTTCTATGATTTACTCCAGATTTTTCATCTCCATGAATTTACATTACCAAATGTGCTTTAAGATCATGAGATCCTTTTTTGTTATCCACTGCTTTACTCAAAAAGTAAGATGACTTGAATCTCTCATAAAGGTCATCAAAACAATTTAAATAATCCCAAGCGATGCTCCTCGTAGTTGGAGGCAGGCAGGCAGCCGTGTTTTCCAGTCTGAATTGACGAATTCATGTTTTGGTTCATATTGCCGTGATATTTATTACAACTCGTGTTTATTTGGTAGAAAGAACTACCAAATTCATTATTCGTCTCTTCCTCTTCCAGTTCAGTATCGATCTGAATATGCGAATCTGAGTTCAAACTCAGGAGAGAATAGTATGACGAGGAAGGCATAATAGCTTGCTTCGACGGTTTCACAGTAGCGTCATCGTTTTGATGACCACAAGTTTACTAAGAATCCTTAACACTACGTCGTTTCGATGAATAACTACTAAGAATAGGGTGGTTTGTTTGCCGTAAAACCAATTACGGAATTGGTTTTCTCCGAAATCTCGTGTTTGTTTCATGTAATTCGTTTTTCGGAAATATTTTCCCGTGTTTGTTTCACGTAATTCGTTTTCCGGAACGTAATTCATTTTCCTAGTAACATAATTTCCTTTGTGTTTTCTGTACGAACTTTTCACTTCAAAGCAAAAATACTCAAAATAATTTTATTTTATGAATTTAATATTAATAAAATATTTTAATATCATTTTCATCAAAATATTAATTATTAAAATATTTAAAATATATTTATTAATATTTATATAATATAATATTATATTTTAGTTTAATAATATAATCAATTATATTAATAATATAATATTTATATTTTGTATTTTAATAATATATAATAAATTTTTTATATATTTAATAATGAATAATATTATTTATATATTTAAATAATATTTTTTTAGTAAAGATATTTAAAATATACTAATTAATATTTTTAAAATATAATATAACACTATTACTTTAATAAATAATTAATATAATTTATAATATTTTATTTCACTAAAATATACCAATATTAATATTTTTATTAATAAAATTATAAAAAATATTTAATAATAAAAATTATTTTAATATTTTAAAATAATAATATTAAGTTTTATGAGAAATAATATTATTTATTATATTTAATATTTGTAATAAATAATTTTTAAAAAACCTTTCAACTAGTGGAAAAAAGGTTTAAATAGCATCTTCCAAACATCATAAAACGTTTTCCAGATATTTTCCAGAAATGTAATTCATTTTTCAGAAATGTAATTCATTTTCCAGAATTCAAATTCCAGTAATTCATTTTCCAGTAATTCAAATTCCAGTAATTCATTTTCCGAAAAACCAATTACAGGCAAACAAACAGAACCTAAAACGTGAAAAAGCAAGGAAATGGAATGTCGAGTTATGACTTGAGCAGCTTCGGGCTACTCGCTGTTCGGCTCCATTACATAACAAATTGGGAGGTTCATAACTTGCTGCTGAAGAGTCTCAAGAAGTTGTTGAATCCGAACCCAATCCGATCACATTAATCTCTTTGAAGGGGCTAAATTTTTTTATCTCATTAAAGTTTCGAGGTGGTGAGAAAAGTGTTTGAGTGGAAGAAATTGAAGAAAGAGGAGGTGACACCCAAGCTAGCGGCGTCCAAGGACAAAAAGTATAGATTGAGATATGAGATTGTTGGAAACAGTGGCGGATCTATGTGGGAGTAGTAACTGCATACCTATTTTCTTAAAAAAAAATACCAACACTTAATATATTATATCAAGATTTAAAAATTCTGCACCTTTTTTTTTAACTTTTATGCACACCCTTTTATTTTTAAATTTGTGCCCAAATGAGGAAGCTAACATCAAATTTCAACCTTCTATTCCAAAATTTTAAATTAAAAAATTATTGATTTAAATAATATATATTATTTTTATATTTATAACCATTTATTTCACCTTTTTTAGTATTTCACTCTTAAACTAAAGTTTTTGGTTTGTTTTTTAGTTCAAACCCACAAAAGCTCCAGCCTCAACTTCTACTCAACTGTCAGTCCCTTGTTTGAGTATAATCAGCCGCCACGACGCTGCTCACCAGTGATTTTCCGGGGAACTTCCCCAACCAAGTTGCCTGTAAGTTGTTGCTAATTTCT